GTCCACTCGATGCCTGTAGATCGTCGCTAGTTTCCAAATCTTTCAACTCTGCCGCCGGTTCTGACGCCCTTTAGGTTAAGTTCCTACCGACCGACTACCAGAATTTGGTTCCTGGATCGCAATCGTTTTCTTCCTTGAAGACCCTTTATCTCAGCCTCTGCGATCATCCTGTCCTCATTGAAGACGGTAAAAAGGTATAGAAACATCCCAACTCCCAACCTGCTCTCCAATTATTTTGTTATGTTGGTCCTGAAATGAATTTTTTTTTTTTTTTTTTGATTTGGTTTGTTAAAATTGTAAGGTATCAACGTTGTGTTTGCATATGGCCCCTGAAAAAATAGCGATCGCAATGCACTAGTTTTTATAAAGATATTAGCTCTGCTACTAATGAAATTACTAATTTTAATGCGATTTAATCTTTGCTATAAATAAATTTCATTTATAATTTTAATTATTGAAAAAGTGTTATGTAATTTGAATAATATTAAATAATAAAATATAAATTTTAAATGAAAAACATATCCTTTGATATTAAAAGTTTTTTTATTTGAAGGTCTTTTATTTAGCAACCTGATATATAATATAAGATGTAAAATAATAAATTATTTTTTATATATTGAACAAGAATGCATTTAAATTTTATTTATTTTTAATTTTGAGCATTGTATCTGAAGAAAAATTATTTTATTAAATTAAATACTAGGAAACTTTTTCCTTTTTTTTTTTTGGATGAGGTTATGAAACCCTTTAGAAGTTCGTGATTAGAATTTTCTCCTGTGAATATTTACTTTCGATTGACATTTTTCATTTCATGACTAAGTTGCGACAAAAGTTGGTGGAAATGGAAAAATAGATTCTACAATAGTGAAAAATGCATTAAATCACAAAAATGTCCACTAAGTTCAAACTTTGTATTCCATGCAAAATAGTACGGGTATTTATGAAAAATCACATACTCCCTCGGTTTCCTAAAACTTATTTTTTAACTTAAAATTTATCACAAATTAATTGTTATTTTTTTAATTTTTTTAAAAAATATTTTTATTTTTATTTTTCACCATAACCATATTGTTAATGGCACATTGAAGCTAAATTAGCATCTTTATGACCCTAATTCGCCTAATAATTTTCATCTATTAAAAGTTGTCCAAGCTGCCAACATATTTACAAAAGGAAGTTCATCTAATAACAGGAATGCTAATCCATGTGATTAATAATAGAGAGCTCACCTCGTCCTTGGCAAATTGAGCCAGTGGCTCACTCCATCTCGATGCTTTCTGCCAATTTTCCTTCTTGATGTTTATAGACAGGCAAATTAGGTTGCGGATTATTTTTGGTATTTACTGTTAGAGTACCTCCAAAACAATTCTTAATTCAAGACTAATCTCTTTCTTGACCATCTTAAAATTGCACTCTACATTAATTTGATACATTCAAAGAAATTAATCATTTAAATATTAACCTCAACAATTGAACCCTAACTAAGACGGCATTTGCTTATTAGTAATTCTAACCCTTGAGTTATCAAATTGTGATTAGATGGCTAAATATACTCTTACCAAATAATGCAAAATAACAGCAAGGCTATCACTTTATATTCTATCGGCCAGTTTAATTTGTTACCAGGATGCCAGACGATGAAAGGGCAGCAAATAAGTTTTTACACTCATAAATATTGTACCAAAACCTAAATGACAAACTAAATGCTTTCATGGCAAACAATGCCCAAACCAAAACTAAATATTTTCCAACTGACTGATGTGAAAACCATGCATTACAATCATGCGTTCCAAAAATGCCAATAGGTGTATAAGTTAAACATTACATACCCATAAGTATATCAAAAGTGCCAATGCCAAGCACCTGTGGCATCGGCACCTCACCTCTCCTCAAGAAATCTATATATTGTTAACGCGGCAACTTCATTTAGGACGATTCTGTGTTGCAACCTAACAACCATTCATAAGGAGAGTCCGGTGAGTGAATTAGCCATTCATTACGCATCCCATTAGAGATTGTATTTTTCAAAAAAAAAACTAAAAATTTAATTTCTCACCTCTAACAACAAAACCATTTTATGCACTGGCACTTGAAGGAATGTCCATGACTTTTCACACTGCAACTGTTTTTCCTGTAGACACAGTAATCCAAGTTACACACTGCATGCCCAGGGTAATTCATGAATAATGAAAATGCAGTCACTTACCTTCAGTTCGAAGAGTAAACTTCCAAGTTGTGCAAAATCTGAGAATCTCTCAAGCACAAATCAAGTTGTTCAACTGAGATGATATTGCCAAAAGGACATAATTCATGAACCAAATTTCAAACACAGAGAAATGTTTCAAATGTAATTGTGCTAGTCTCTACTTCAAAGCAAAACTTCTTTCCCTGTTAAAAATAAACCGCCAGTGAAAACCATTTGACAAAATGAAATATTGGTTGGAGATTCCAACCACTTCAGACCTTTGAAAGCTTAGAAGCTGCATAAATAACAGAGCAATGCTACAGCTTTCATACACATAGCAATTCTAGCAGTCCCACAATTATCAACCAGGAGGATGATACCATGTTGAATGGAAAACATTCATAATTCTAGATAATTTCAAATGTCGGAGAATAGACACTTTGGAATTTCAGAAAGAGCGAAAAGGCAAGAAGAAAACCTGAATGCAGCAAACAACAACAGCACCATTCTTAATGGATAGAACTTTCTTTTTCATGGGTTTCTTGTCTTGGGATCAATTTGTTGTAGCAGCTCAACAATCTCACATTCCTCAACAACGGAATGAATGTGCAACACAGCTTTATAACCAGCTGTAAATATTGCCTAAAATAGCAGAGACAGTCCAATACCATTAGATGCAAGGTTAATCAAATTAACTAAAAGATTAAAGATAAGAGAGGACTTTATAATGTGGATTCATTCATACATTGTCAAGCAACTCAAGGATCAGCAGCTGGGCTGTAAATTCAGTGACTGTTGGTATTGGTTTTGCTGGGTAAAAAGGAAAAAAAAAGGGATATAATTCAGCAAGACTTAAAACAAAATCACAAATAACACTTCAGAATCAAAATTAGAAAATAAGTATAGAAAGGGATGGTGAGGCCAACATGTCCCAGCATTGCTATCAAAAACTACAAAAGAACGGAAATATTTCTGCAAACAAATCTGTAAATTATCCTACCATTTACCTTTTTAACTCCGCTTTCTATAATCTAATTTCCTCTTTAGGGGATCAAACATGAGAACATTCAGTTTTTACAATCTTTAAAGCACTTACCAACACTACACAAGACAAAACCAGATAATATGTCCTCTTCTTCAATTCCAGATAACTTAACCTGCAGATTTTCACCAGGTCCAGCATGTATAGCCTTATCTTCATCACAGTAAATGACAAGAACTTTCACTTGAGCGTGCCATCCATGCATCTTGAACTTCAGAATCAAAGTTAAACAATAAATAAACAAATAAAGAAATTAGGTGAAAGACTAAGCACCTTGTTTGGCATGACCAATAAGGAATCACCCTTACGCATGGTACCAGATTCAACCTTTCCCATTACGACAGTTCCCATGTCTTTAAATTTGTCAATTATAGGCATCCTGTATATTTAGAAAACATATAGTTAATAGATCTGAAATCAAAGATAGATACATCCTTGATAATTCAGAATCTACATTGAATAACTTTGATGTTAGCAATTTAGGGTTCTATTTTATTATACTTAAGTTTTACTATGTTCAGGGGCAGACTTAATATAATTTCAGTTTCATGATTTAGGTTTTCTTTTTAAAATATAATTTGGGCACATTTTGGTCATTCTAGGATCTTTAGGAGTTAGATTTTTTAGGTCTTATTTTCTAAGAAACCTACCTAGTTATTTACTTATCTTATGTTTGGAATCAAAGTCATAGGGACTCAAGAAATAGTCAGAGTCCTTATAAGTCACTATGTAGCCTTTTCTATAACAAAAGGAAAAAGGGTATAGTTATACAATTCTACTTTCTTCCTAGAGTTGTACGATTTCCTACAGTAATAAATCATACCTAAAAGGACCTTTTGGATCTCTAGGAGGAATTTCAACTGCATCAAGAACTTCAAAGAGGCAGGCCCATTCCAACAGGGGCATATGCTCGTCCAGTCTCATTTTCATGTTGGAACCAAGAAGACCAGATATAGGTAGAAACTGGACATCTACAGGTTCAGAATAAGATCAAAAACAAAATCAATATACAGAATTAATTGCTTTGCTTTCATTGAAAAGATACAAATAACCCACAATTTTAATTCAATCAATCACCATTTTCCTATATATATATATATAAGAGATATTCGAGAAGCAATATATCAATTACCTTTTTTCACATTGTAGCCTGAAGACCTCAGAAAAGGTACCATCTTAGATTCAATTTCATCATATCTGAGGGAGAATAGGAACACAGAAATAAAACAGCATATATAAGCATGAACTTAACTAAATTTAGGAACAGCACCTTTCTTTTGACCAGTTAACAGTAGGATCATCCATTTTGTTCACAACCACGAACAGCTTAGATAAGCCCAAAGTTTTTGCAAGCTGAACATGTTCACGGGTTTGCCCACCCCTCTCATATCCAGTTTCAAATTCCCCTTTACGGGCAGAAATAACCTAATTATGACAGTCAGATAGAGAACAAGACAGAGAAGGAGAAAGAATTAAAAATTCAAAAAATGGGACTTGCGCAAAACAAATGCAGAGAAGCGGCGCCTAACTCACCAGAACACCAACATCTGCTTGAGCTGCTCCACTGATCATATTTGGGACATAACTCTAGTGAACCTGAACAAACAACCCAACACTCAAAGTTTAATCATATACTGAAGCAAAATTGATGGAAAATATACATTCAAAACACAACAAATTATGGCCAAAGAATACAACAGCTGAGAATCTTATTCTGTAAACAAATTCACAACTTTCCTACGTCAGTACCGTACATAACTCCATCATTTAGATTACAAAATTGTTCGCACGCACAAACTTGATAAGTATTTAGAATCATAAGTAGCTAAGCTGTCACATCTCTAAAATTCTAATCAACTGAAGTGACGATGGCTTGCAGGCAGTGTTGCAAAAGTAGGGATTAGTTGACCAGAGGCATCGGTCACCACACCACCTCAACCATTGGACTGCCCAGATGAACAGTCGTCTGCAACAAAATTGTGCCATAATCCAAGACGCAACATCGGAAACTTTGGGCCCGGTGAGCTACTCTGCAGGAGAATATGTTGTAGGAAGCAATTAAAAAAAAAAAACTTTCAAGTCTCTCTACTTAAAAAGTTATTTTTAATTCTTTTCCTTAAAAGAAAACACATTTTTAATTTTTTTATTTTAAAATATATGTGTATCATATGTGTAAAAAAAAAATAAAAAAAATCAAATAAGAAATTTTAACAACTAAAAGAGAGATTTTTAAGGATAAAAAAAAAAGTTTTTTTGGGCTAAAATATAAGGTCCAAAATATGTTTTAACTATTTTTATATACCATAATTAATTATTTATAGAAAATCTAACATTTGTGTGCTTGACTATAACAACACCTCAAGTGTGAGAAGAGATTTTACTACCAAATATTTGTCAAGGTAGTAATTTTAACTCTAATTTTATTAGTTTATATGTTTTAAATAATTGATTATGATAATTAAAAAGTATGATTATAAATTACAGTAAATTTAATAGGATAAATAGTAAATATTAATCATTTTATTAATTATTAATTATTAATTATTAATTATTATTAATTATTAAATTAAAAATTAAAATTTTCATAATTTTAGTTGCTTATTTGACCATGCTACCCCAAGTATGCTGTATTATTACAAGACTTAACTGCTAAGTTCTAGTCGAGTTCACTTATTCAACTCCGATCTCATCGCATTTGGCTTCAATTGAGAATGAGTACTAGTCCGCCCCGTCAACGAATAGACACCGAGATGCAGGATTGCCGCACTCTTGCCCCCGACTGCCTCGAACCCATCATCTCCTTCACCAGTCCTCTCGATGCCTGTAGATGGTCAGTAGTTTCCCGCTCTTTCAACGATGTCGCCAGATCCAACGCGGTTTGGGTTAAGTCCCTGCCGTCCGACTACCAGAATTTGGTTCCCGCATCGCGATCCACTTTTCCATTGAAGGACCTTTATCTCAGCCTCTGTGATCATCCTGTACTCATTGAAGATGGCAGAAAGGTAAATATATATATCCCTACTCCCACCTGCCTTTTGATCTTTTCGTTTCCGTCCCCCATATAAACCTAAAGTTTGGTGTTTTGTGTTTACTGGAAAATGATTTACTCCTTTGGATCTTTTTAGTTCTCCTAACTCATCAATTTTATACTATAAATTAATTTGATTATTTTATATAACAAAAAAAATCATAATTAAAAAAAAATTAATTGAAAATACTCAATAAAAATTATCCATAGAAAAAATTTTAACTACTCCATTCATCCCAAACAATGGAGTTTTTAGATTTTATGTTTAAAGGATTTGGGGACAATTTGGGCGGACTATCCCATTAATGCAAGGGGACTCTGTCAATATAAGGAATAGTTATAAGATGTGCATTCTGCACCTTAGTTCCAGTATTTCAGTATGAGGATGGACTACACATCACTTTTCTGATTTGCATACAGTCAAACTTTATGCAAAATTCAAACTAGAGTAACTAAATCAGACTAGATAAGAGGGAGTACATATTTTCTTAATAAAATCTTACAGTCCCAAATCTTACAATCTTAAGTAGTGTTAATCATTGGCTCTTTTTCAATTTTTCACTCAGCAAGGTACTTGACTAGATCTGCATTCACTCAACATATGCATATTGTAAGATTTCATTGTTTGGACTGAGGATGAATCACATGCTTAAAAAGCCAAATTCTGGTAATGCCTTCCTTTTCTGATCAATTTCTGTGTGTAGCTAATTGAGCTATGAGCTTTTTGTTTGCTGTGAATGATTTTTCCTAAGAACTTTCAACTTTTTTTTTTTTTTTTTTTTACAAACTTCTTGGCGACTTTTAACATTTATTTTGTGTGTGTAGCTATATATGGCTTGTTAAGAGGCCATGACTTGGTGTAGTTTTCTTTTGTGTTGATAGTCCTGAATTCATGTCTATATGAAGCAGCTAACTACAAAGATTTTTATTGGTATAATTTGCAAAACTTATGGATTTGTTGCCTGGGTATTCAATGCTTCTTTTTTTTTGGAATATGCTTGCTAGAGGATTATGTTCTTTTGGGTGATGTAATAATGATTAATGATGATTATGTCCTCTATATGGTGAGTTTATGTTTTCCTTTGGTTCCTTGTTGATATTTTGAAGTTTGATCAGTAATTTTTTTCCAAACTATTCTTTTTCGGTTCTAGGTTTTTTTTGGTCAACTTTTTCAGAACTAGTTGAGTGTTTAATTGTATAACCTGTATTGCACAAAGCTTTTCACTGCAGAAAAGGGTTGGGAAGAAATGTTACATGCTAGCTGCCAGGGACCTCACAATTACATGGGGTGATACTCCTCGTTATTGGAGATGGAACTCCATACAAGATTCCAGGTTTCTCTCTCTCTCTAAACTCCATACGAGATTCGAGCTCACACACGCACACAAACACCACACAGAAAATGCAGACAAAAGGCATGTAGGACACAGTTTCACTCACACCCAACCAAAAGAATTCAAGCATGTAGTTGATTGTTTTTAAGTGTCTTCTCGAACTAAAAATGAATAAATATGTGAAGATTAATGTCTATAATTCATGCTTAATTACAAGCAGGTTCCCCGAGGGTGCAGAGCTTCTCGATGTTTGTTGGTTTGAAATCAATGTGAGGATCAGTACTTGCAAGCTTTCTTCAATAACACATTATAAGGCATACCTTGTGTTCAATCTGGCAGCTAGAGTTTTTGGGTTTAGAATGAACTATGTTTCTGCATGCAGAAGGTGAAGATGTACAAAATGATTACCAGTACCCAATAGAGAGGGGAGATGGTTGATTAGAGCTAGAGTTGGGTGAATTCTTCAATGAAGGAGGGAGAGATAGCAAATTGGAAATACAGATTTTTGGTTTCAATGGTCACTAGAAGAGTGGTGTCATTATTGAAGGCATCAAAATCATACCAAATTAGCAGGACATGACAAGATTTTCTTCCACCCTGTGTATTTTATGTGCAGGTAAAAAATTGTCCCTTGTGTTAGATTGTGAGTGTCATGCACTAGTCTACATAAATATATGAGTTCTATTGTTGTCTAGATGAGTCTGTGAATCTTTATTTGAACAATGTATTCCTAATCTGTAGTGTTGATTACTAATTTTGATTTGATTTGGGGAAGAGCACTTTTAAGACTTGCTTAAGTCCGTAAGGAAAAGCATTTCAGAATACCTGATTCTTTTGAGTTCAGAACACAAGGTAAGTTCTATATAGGTCTATATCAAATGTAAGGGGGCCTTATTAGGCACCCTTATAAATTCCATTTAATAAAATTAAATAAAAATTAATTGATTCTTCCATGAATTAAGAAATAATTATAGTATGTGAGATTTAATTTAATAAAATTAAATAAGAGTTAATTTATTTCTTTATAAATTAAGAGTTACTTATGGTAGATGGGACTAATTAAATGAAAAAATATATTAATTGTTTTAATTTTTAAATATAAATAAAATAAAATTAGGAATTAAAGTAGTTTTTAAATTATTTAAAATTAAAAAAATCCATATAAATCATCTTTTACATGATGAATTTTTCACCTAATATTGAACATGTAAAATACTCATCACTTAACGAAAAAATTAGTTACATCAGCACTTAATTAAGAGAAAGATGAAATTGGTGCTGAAAATTGAAGTTGAAGGATGTTTTTAATACTTTTTAAAGTTTAAGGGTGAATTAATTCAAAAAAAAAGTTGAGGGACCAATTTAAGTATTTAACTTAAAAAAATATATATTAGCCACTTCACCACACAATTAATCCTTAAATAAAAAAAGGTTAAAAATTGACATATTTAAATAAAAAAAATTAAAAGTTAACAT